TACAACTATCCATGTGTGTGTACTGTACACTATATCTTGTACAACTGTCCATGTGTGTGTACTGTACACTTTATCTTGTATAACTGTCCATGTGTGTGTACTGTACACTTTATCTTGTACAACTGTCCATGTGTGTGTACTGTATACTATATCTTGTACAACTATCCATGTGTGTGTACTGTACACTATACATGTATCTTGTACAACTGTCCATGTGTGTGTACTGTACACTTTATCTTGTACAACTATCCATGTGTGTGTACTGTACACTTTATCTTGTACAACTGTCCATGTGTGTGTACTGTACACTATATCTAGTACAACTGTCCATGTTACTGTACTGTACACTATATCTTGTACAACTATCCATGTGTGTGTACTGTACACTTAATCTTGTACAACTATCCATGTGTGTGTACTGTACACTATATCTTGTACAACTGTCCATGTGTGTGTACTGTACACTTTATCTTGTATAACTGTCCATGTGTGTGTACTGTACACTTTATCTTGTACAACTGTCCATGTGTGTGTACTGTATACTATATCTTGTACAACTATCCATGTGTGTGTACTGTACACTATACATGTATCTTGTACAACTGTCCATGTGTGTGTACTGTACACTTTATCTTGTACAACTATCCATGTGTGTGTACTGTACACTATATCTTGTACAACTATCCATGTGTGTGTACTGTACACTTTATCTTGTACAACTGTCCATGTGTGTGTACTGTACACTATATCTTGTACAACTATCCATGTGTGTGTACTGTATACTTTATCTTGTACAACTGTCCATGTGTGTGTACTGTACACTATGTCTTGTACAACTGTCCATGTGTATGTACTGTACACTATATCTTGTACAAATGTCCATGTGTGTGTACTATACACTATACATGTATCTTGTACAACTATCCATGTGTATGTACTGTACACTATATCTTGTACAACTATCCATGTGTGTGTATTGTACACTATATCTAGTACAACTATCCATGTGTGTGTACTGTACACTTTATCTTGTACAACTATCCATGTGTGTGTACTGTACACTTTATCTTGTACAACTGACCATGTGTGTGTACTGTACACAATATCTAGTACAACTGTCCATGTGTGTGTACTGTACACTATATCTTGTATAACTATCCATGTGTGTGTACTGTACACTATATCTTGTACAACTATCCATGTGTGTGTACTGTACACTATGTCTTGTATAACTATCCATGTGTGTGTACTGTACACTATATCTTGTACAACTGTCCATGTGTGTGTACTGTAAACTATATCTTGTACAACTATCCATGTGTGTGTACTGTACACTATATCTTGTACAACTATCCATGTGTGTGTACTGTACACTATATCTTTTACAACTATCCATGTGTGTGTACTGTACACTATATCTTGTACAACTATCCATGTGTGTGTACTGTACACTATGTCTTGTACAACTATCCATGTTTGTGTACTGTAAATTATATCTTTTACAACTATCCATGTGTGTGTACTGTACACTATAGCTTGTACAACTATCCATGTGTGTGTACTGTACACTATATCTTGTACAACTGTCCATGTGTGTGTACTGTACACTATATCTTGTATAACTATGCATGTGTGTGTACTGTACACTATATCTTGTACAACTATCCATGTGTGTGTACTGTACACTATATCTTGTACAACTATCCATGTGTGTGTACTGTACACTATATCTTTTACAACTATCCATGTGTGTGTACTGTACACTATAGCTTGTACAACTATCCATGTGTGTGTACTGTACACTATGTCTTGTACAACTATCCATGTTTGTGTACTGTAAATTATATCTTTTACAACTATCCATGTGTGTGTACTGTACACTATAGCTTGTACAACTATCCATGTGTGTGTACTGTACACTATATCTTGTACAACTGTCCATGTGTGTGTACTGTACACTATATCTTGTATAACTATCCATGTGTGTGTACTGTACACTATATCTTGTACAACTATCCATGTGTGTGTACTGTACACTATATCTTTTACAACTATCCATGTGTGTGTACTGTACACTATATCTTGTACAACTATCCATATGTGTGTACTGTACACTATATCTTTTACAACTATCCATATGTGTGTACTGTACACTATATCTTTTACAACTGTCCATGTGTGTGTACTGTACTGTGTGTGCTAAGTTGAGAAATAATCATTATCTTATCTGTTTTTGGATGTTTTCAGTTGTTATATTTACATTGTTTCATGTATTGCTTAATTTTGATAATCTGTTCATTTTATGTCTGGGAATAAAGACACTTTATCGCTACCATGTGTATAATTTCTTTGTCTGAAACCCAAAGAACTTCTGTTATATGGTGGGATAAAGATTCCGCACCACTACAGTATTTGAAGATGTATCCAAAGGTAAGACATATCCCCTCGTTCAATCTATTCCTGGTTCGCGGATGTTATACATGCCATTGTTATCAAAGATTTAATTTGATGTCAAATAAGAATAGTTTGCCTCAGCCTCACGTAATGCAACTGATGTTTCAAAGTCCAAGTCTCTCTAACGATCAGGTAATACATTTCGCATTATCACACGCTATGGATGGTTGAAAAGTCATTAACAATTTAAAGTGCAATGATTATTATTGCTTTTAAGTTTAAATGTGCAGACTGCATTAATGTTTGAAAGATTTTTGCAAATTTTGCAAATTATCATATGACAACATTCCTCAAAAGAAGAAATAAGTTAATACCTAGTTATGTCATGCATTGTGTAATAAAAATGTAGCGTGCTTTCGAGAATAACTAAATCAAAATTGAAATAAAAGAGTTGCAGTTCCGTGTTCCTAAAAATTCAGTAAACTGTAGGTAAAATATACTGTGTTTTTAAAGTTGTATTTAAAGTCTAATGTTTTCCTAAAGGCGTAAAATTGATTTAGATATAGCTTAAGAATTAAATTTGACACACATCTTACTTCCTGTCCAGTAGGCTTTGTTTTGCATTCAGATGTGTTTTCTCTCAAAATCCCAAGAATATTTTGTTTTATTTTATACTCAATACCTAACACTTGGATACGCTGTTTAAAGCAGAGGACATAAAAGAATATAGCACGACTGGTACATCGCAGTAATTAAATTAATATTTATAATAATGTTCAAATTAAACCTGTGGGCATTCTTACGTTACAGGACATCTGTCTGTAGGCATCCAACACGATATTTAGAAAGACATGATTACCCCAAAACAATATAATGACGTTTTTACATTCATTGTGTGGCCCGTGAAGATCCGGGTCAGAATAGGTCTTCAGCAACCAATGCTTGCCGTAAAAGGCGACTATGCTTGTCGTAAGAGGCGACTAACGGGATCGGGTGGTCAGGCTCGCTGACTTGGTTGATGCATGTTATCGGTCCAAATTGCGTGGATCGATGCCCATGATGTCAATGACTGGATTGTCTGGTCCAGACTCGATCATTTACAGACCACCGTCATATAGCTGGAATATTGCTGAGTGCGGCGTTAACAACAAACAAACAAAACATACATTATTTCCATCGTTGACTGCCTCAAGTCGCAATTGGACGTATCCAAAGAGGGGAATCGTAGACTTCTGTTGCACGCACCTTCAACGTCCACCACAGCACCATTGGCAGCCTTTGTGACCGATACACACAGTTCAATTCCACTGCAGACCGTCCGAGAACCGGCAGACCAAGAGTTAACTCCCCCCCCCCCCCCCCACCCCCTCCCGCACAGGGTAGCTTCATCCGACTGTTCCACCTACGTCATCGCAATGCCACAGCTACGGAGACTGCAAGACGCATCCCTGGTTTGAGGAGGATATCGGACCAGTCTGTCAGGAGCCATCTTCGCGAGGTTGGAATCCGACCCAGAAGACCAGTTATCGTTCCTGTTTTGCAACAGATCCCTTACAGCCTTGTGAGAAACTGGAGACAAGTGTGGTTTAGCGATGAATCACGATTTCTTCTTCACCGGCGAGATGGAAGACAACTTGTTTATCGTCGTCGAAATGATCGTTTTGCCCCACATTGTTTACGTGAATTCGACAATTTCGGCGGGGGTAGTGGCATGGTGTGGGGGGGGGCTATATTCTACACCACGAGATCTGACTTGGTTGTGGTTCAGGTAAATTTGACAGGAAATCGCTACATGAATCAAATTCTTCAACCTTACCTTCTTCCAATCATTGACCGCCAGAGGGAGGTGTTTCAACAGGACAACGCTCCACCGCACACAGCTCGTGTCACGGTCGACTACCTTCATAACTCCAACATCAACGACCTGCCCTGACCGTCGAAACTCCAGATCTCAATCGAACGCCTCTGGGGATGAACTCGATCGACGTGTACGTCAACGTCAGAACACGCCGCAGACACTCTCACAGCTGGCCAACGCGTTACAAGCAGAATGGCGCAGAATTTATGTGACATGACAATGAACAGTTTTCAATGCCTTTGTACGACAACATGTGACTATCGAGCTCCAAAATGTCATATTTGCATCTATGATATTAAATTAAATATATCAAATTTACTAGGTACAATAAATTAACTAACAATCTACTTGTGCGTTTCTTGTTTTGAAGAGTTTATATATATATATATATATATATATATATATATCCTTCAAAAATAGAATCGCACAAGTAGATTTATATCTATTTATATATCAAGGTAAACGCGTCAACCTGATTTTTTTTAAATTATTCGAACAGAGCAGTGCTTTTTTTACTCGAAATGTAAATTATTTGCGTCCGCTCTGAACGTTTATTCGTACAGGAAACAAAATTCCCCGCATGCATGCACCATCTTCCCGAGTTTCCGTCGCCACAGCCCGGATATCATTAAACCACACTGAGAGTTCACTGCACAATATTTCACAGGGACCGTCAGTCAATACACAGGAGCGTTGTTTACCTGCCGCACTGAAAGGGAGGTAAGACGAATAACGTATTTACTCGCAACGGTCGTTAGGTAGGTCACATGCTATTTAAAGCGCGAGGGCGTTGTGGCATACCCAGGCGATGTTGTAATAATATGACACTGACGACATGGGCCAGTATAATAGTTTATGGGTGTCTCTTATCTTAGCGGGGCAAGTAATCTATACAGCAGGTAAGATAAATGCATTTGTCGTTAATTACAAAGACCAACTCAGTAGTCTTGTGCCGAAGCGCGGAAGGTCGTGGGTTCACTGCCCGGCCGACCAAAAGACGCTCAATGTTCGCACTTATTTATACCCTGCCTGACGCTCGACATCACGGAGATGGAACTGGTAGGTTCACTATCAGTACAATGTGTCTTACTGGGATGTCAATGTTAAACTGCCGCATGGTATCCCATGAATTGGCCAGCATTACCGGCATTAGTCCGGGCAAGTACAGGTGCACGCATGGCGCTATATAAGTGCAATAATCTTGAACGCGACGTTCAACACCATTTCACCTCACCACATCCTCGACTCAAATGTACTGATCAGTATAATGTGGCACGATTAAAAATAATGCCTGTGTCAAATAGGTTGACCAGAACAACGACATAAACCATCATTATCAACAGGCAGTTTCGTCATGAAACCACATGGAAGTAAATTTTACATGTACTTTGGGGGGTGGGGGGAGAGGGTTGGGGGTGATGTGGTCAACGAAATGGTAAACCTCTAAAACCAGCACCACCAACCTTTCTTCACATATGAAGCTGCCAGGCCGTATAACTTACATTTACAGCAACCCATGCTTGCCGTAAAGGCGACTATGCTTGCCGTAAAAGGCGACTATGCTTGTCGTAAAAGGCGACTAACGGGATCGGGTGGTCCGGCTCGCTGACTTGGTTGATGCATGTTATCGATCCCAATTGCGTGGATCGATGCTCATGATATTAATCACTGGATTGAGTGGTCCAGACTCGATTATTTACAGACCGCCGTCATATCGCTGGAATATTGCTGAGCGCGGCGTTAAACTACAAACAAACAAACAAAACAAAACTTACATTTACTTTAATTTTTGTAAGTCTTGTCTCCGTTCAACCCTAGCCAAATACGGATCTTGCCGTACGGAGCTATATAAAAACAAAAATAGTGATGTCTTGCTATAGACACACATCACATTCATAGCCCGGATAACAGTTGGAACACTGTGTGACCTGTTTGTTCAACGAACCTTACCTTGCAGTGGTACGACAAAAGAGGTGTTTACAAAAGTTTCAGTTACGCTTCGTCTGTGCTGCGCCTGTGCTGTCTTGCGGAACGAGTGGCTGACATTGTCACTAGCAAACATGTCATAAACTGGCCCTGCACACGTTGCCTGGAGGTGTTTAGCATATTTCAACAGTTGCGATGTTAATCTGACATATGCACTGCATATATGTATGTCAATCTTGAGGACTGATGAATGCGAGCGGCGCAGAGACGAACGGCTTGACATTGTCCACCCAACCTGTTGGGTTTCTATGTACACATGTACTGCATTATGCTTTCAATTGCAATGTCGTATTTCGGGATCCGCTTTGTTGCTGCTGTAAGCGCGGCGAAGTATGTGACCGACGCAAGTTCTGCCAAGGGCGTTCAGTTTGATTCACGATCAGTCGGTTGATTCATCACAGAGAGTAATATCGACCTGGTGTAAAACTGTCATCAATCAAAACTAATGTTTCTGCGTGACATCAATTGTCAGCTATTGATGCAGGGTGTCTAGATATAACTGTTCACACACAGAACACTATCGTATCAGAACGCAAAACCCGCCTGGTTGTTAATTGTCTCAAGTACGCAGGTCATTTACAAACGGTATAACATTTGCAAGCAAATGTGTAAAAAACAATTCAACGCTATCGAAAGCATTGTTGACGTTGTGCAAAGACCATTGTTGACGCATAAAAGAGAGCTTAATGACGTTACAATAATAATAGGGTCACGACGTATTTTTATTAATGACGTCATGTTGACATTTTTCACATGTACACAATGTAACTTGAGGAGACATGGAACAATATTTCTTCGCTATAAGGTATGGATAATAAAGTTATCATTGCATGCGTGTGTTTCCTTCTGATTACACGAGGGGCGGTCGGGTAGCCTAGTGGTTAAAGCGTTCGCTCGTCACGCCGAAGACCCGGGTTCGATTCCCCACATGGGTACGCCGTGATATTGCTGGAATATTGCTAAAAGCGGCGTAAAACCATACTCACTCACTCACTCTGATTACACGAAATCGTGTCAAACTTAATTTACGAAACTGGCTTTCGCTCGGGAAATGCAAAAGTTCTTACACTCGTTTTATGAAATCAATAGGACGCCGAATCAAGTATTTATTTGTCTAGATTTGACAAATGTGTTAAATGTCACATTTCTATTCCCAGTGTATGGTGTGAATATTACACTTGAGGCTAACGGGACTACACAGACATTTCATTTCAACCAGTCCTCGTATTCTGAAGGAGAAAGGTTAGTTGTGCATACAGTGCATAATTCACAGTATGCATTTCAACATACAGACTACTACTACTACTACCACTACTACTACTACTACTACAACAACTTCTACTACTACTATTACTACTACTACTACTACTACTACTACTACTACTACTACCACTACCACTACTACTACTACTACTACAACAACAAGTACATTTCCTACTAAAACTAATACTACTACTACTTCTGCTACTACTACTACTGTTACTACTACTACTACTAGTACTGGGGCCGTCGGGTAGCCTAGTGGTATAAGCGTTCGCTCGTCTAGCCGAAGACCTGGGTTCGATTCCCGACATATGGGTTCAATGCGTGAAGCCCATTTCTGGTGTCCCCCGCCGTGATATTGCTGGAATATTGCTAAAAGCGGCGTAAAACCATACTCACCCACTCACTCCTACTACTACTTCTACTCCTACTACTACTTCTACTTCTACCACTACGAAAAGTACTTGTACTAGTACTGCTACTTCGTCATCATCTAAAAACAGCCTGTTGACATGGAAAGATACTTCACTCTACATAGCGCATATTCAAAGTTCATAACATATTATAATCACAATATAATATCAGCTAAATGGGAAATATACAAAGCAAACTGTTTGCTATAGCTCGGTGCTAGCTGACCAGTCGTTGACGAAAACGAGAACGCCCTGTCAGCTATTTGTATTCCGTACAAAACGTCGTAGCATTGTTTATTCCTTTCAAAATGTGAAAGTGTAATATGCATGTACCATTTCATTGTGTGACCATTTCTACTTTGTAGCGGAGGAAGGAGTTTTATTCAGATACGAGCTGTCGATCCAGTTGGTTACTTTGTTTTGATCGCAGTTAACACTACAACCAACCTTACCCAGCAGGTCTGCAAGGATGGCAATATTCGACTCTATTCGGGGGGTAAGAGTTGATAGTAACAGAATATGTCATAGGGCACAGCGGCAAGTACGACAACTGTTCAATTCACAACATAATAATGTTTCCATATAAATCCATCATAATAAACGAATGTACGTATTGGTTTGTTCAACATTTCCTAAATTCCTTTGCACACTTTTGATCCACTGAAGGAATTGGTATATCAATAATGTCTTTTGTGTATTATCTTGCATCGCTATGTTACGTTTTATAGTGTAAGTGATGTATTATTATATAAGTATGTGAATTACGGTTTGCTGTAAATTGACGGGGATTAACATCCAACATGTTCCTGGGTGTTGTTTAACGTCGTCATATGCAATGTGCCAGCTACGCGACGGCTAAATAATCGTGACTGATATTATGAGCAACAACGTCAGGGTACCATGCCACGCAGTCATCTAAGTCACAGATCCTGACCACCTTTAAGCCAACTTTGTGAACCCGAGAGAATGACATTGCTCATGACATGATTGTGAATTATTTTTCGAGGCAAGATGATCGCGCCCCCTCCCCCCTCCTCTTTAGAGATGATCAAGATTTTAAAACAAAGACATTTTTTTTACTTTAAAGCATGTCAATCAAACGAAAGGAAACCTTGAACTGTATCACTCTTGTAGATTCATCTCAGATTTGGATTTAGCAAACATTTGATATATATTTTAATAATATATAACCCGTTTCAGATAACCCCACAACTGAACAGTATTTGGGGTCTTTTTGTGGATCGCCGACGGCATCAAAAACGCCGGTCTTCACATCATCACAGAACGCCTTGACAGTTGTCATCAACGGCGCCACCACCATCCTCGCGGACAACATCCTGACACTGAAATACAGCCAGGTCCACAATATAGGTACTTCAGAAACCATACTTGGACGTGTGTTCCCGTCTTGTTAACGTCCTCCTTATAATGTCGGGTCTGAATCTAAAGTAACAATACTGTAACGAGTCAGCTGAAAGTAGATAAATAATGTTCATGAAATGTAAATGTTTTTGACATTTTACAGCCTGTGACTTATTAACAACTTACTCAGCAACGTTTACACCAAGGTATATTCGAACTCCTGGCTATCCACTTGGAACACGCAAGTGAGTATGTTTTTTATATGTGATACCGTTTCTGGCCTGACAAAGTAAACGTTGTGAAATCGCGTTATATATACTCGACCTTCACTGTTCTAACCCCTCTGGTTGGTGATCTTTTCTTATCTAGAGCTGTGTGTTCTAAGAAATATCATGTGAAACACGAGGTCATTCTTTCAGGATTTGGCACAATCTAGAAATGTGATGCATTTTGAGACTGGCCGTGAAAATCCGGGTTAGAATTGGTCTTCAGCAGCCCATGCTTGTCGTAAAAGGGGTCAAACGGGATCGGGTGGTCAGACTCCCTGACTTGTTTGATGCAAGTCATCGTATCCCAACTGCGTGGATCGATGCTCATGATATCAATCACTGGTTCAGAGTCGATTATTTACAGACCGCCGTCATATAGCTGGAATATTGCTGAGTTCGGCGTTAAACAAAAAAACAGCAAACAAACATATTGAGACGAAAAGTGTCGCCCTTTGAAGATTGTCATTTGAACTGACATCTCTCATGTAAACAATTGTGTAAAATCTGCAACATAAATATAGCAGACCTTCAAAGAGTCTCGAAAGACTCTTTCGACGACTTGATGTCAAAACCTAGTTTGTTGTTTTTAAGAAATATGTAAAATCAACAACAAAGTACTTCAATAGTGATATGTATTGTTGAAATGGTTGTTTGTGTCCTCAGTGTTTCCGGATGCTCGTGGCGAATTGTTGGACCTTCATCCAACCGTCTTTTCCTGACGTTCAAGTATGCTGACGCATCCGTTACCCCCAACTGCTCAGTTACAAACATCACAGTTCACACAGTTATAGGTTTGTTTAATCGAAACAGTGGTGGTGTTTAATGAGGATGTGCGTCATTATAATGCGCCTCCTCCTATTACCTAGGAACCTGCCTAGAATAGGGGGATGATGTCAACAAACGGAAAGATGTTATCACAAATATGTTATTTGCACGATGGATGGATGTAAATGTTCAACGACACATATTTATCGTCCTCCCCAATAATAATAATAATAATAATTGTTGTCATATTATCATTATTAAGGGCCCTGAGCTGATGATGAGCCTGATGATGAGCCTAAACAGCCTAATAATCATAATCATAATCATAATAATCATAATCATAATAATAATAATAATTTTGCATCAACATGTAAATATGAAATGCATATTATGTAATGAATTTAATGAGACTGTCCAACACATTGTCAGTGGATGCCCTGCTTTCGCACAAACACAGTATCTTAAACGACATGATGGTGTAGCTCGATCATTTTATTACCGTCTTCGCCATGCTTGTGGTTTTGACACAGAGGTCCACCCATGGTACGACACGGAATATGTAGAGGGCGTCATGGAAAATGATAGATACAAAGTTCTTTGGAATGGGCCCATTTGCAGCCTCGGACGTGTCCGGGTCGACAGGTCTGGTCGTGTCCTTTTTGATAAGTCAAATGAGATCGTTTATATCATTGAATTTTCTGTCCCCTTTGACACTAATGTGATTGACAAGATTGGGGAAAAGCATGGCAAGTATGCGGACCTCGCTTTCGAAATGTCACGCATCCAAGTTGTCCGACTCCCCATTGTTCTCGGTGCCTGAGGTTTGGTACCTCCCAATCTGTTGACTGACATTGGGAGAGTACCCGGCTTTGCTACCAGGAATACAACCCTTCTGACAATGTGGGTAATGCAGAAGGCTTCAGTTTTGGGGAGTCTTCACATTCTCCGAAATGTTCTGGGTGGGTTTGACTAGGCAGCGCTTCCTGGGAGAAGTCCCATTCGCTGTCTGGGCTGCGTGTAGAGGGGGCAAGGACCCTGAGCTGATGATGAGCCTAACCAGCCTGATCACCTAAACCCTCTTTGCTGCATTTTTTATTTTTAATCTGTAAGTAATAACAATCATAATAATAATGATAATAATAGTCGCTCACTTTCAAAGATTCGGCTTCAGCGGTTTATTTCTACACCCCAGTAACACGATGAAATGTGTTCTTCAGGGACTGAAGGTAAGATAAAGACATGGTGCGGGGAAGGAGAAAAAACATTCGCCATCTATAAACAAAGTTTCAGCTTCGTCGTCTCAAGTGGACTAGAACATGTCAATACCGGAATTCAGATGGAATATGTTGCAGAAGAAGGTAGGACCAACATCTCTTGTCTGCAGGCCCGTGAGTCAGTCAAGGATAACTTCCCTTACCGTGTCTCCTCCCATTGACATGATATTCATGTCACACAATCTTCCAAAAATACTTATTGGTCTTGGTAGCCAATTGTAAGTAGCATAAGACGCTGCAAATCGCTGTGTACCTTAGCTTTACCAAGATCCGTTGATCATGGGTTCGAATTCGTTTGGTTATTATCCTAGGTTTATATATCCGTCAGGGTCAATATAGTGAAACACTCGTGGCCTGCATCACTTTTAACCATCAAAAGTTCCTACAAAGTAATGTCACTGTAGGTGATTAACAACATGACACACTTTCATCAACTGAAACTCCAGGCTTCTTCTTGCGCCCACTCTGTTTGGACAGGAAACCCTTTGTCTGTAAAGACATACAGCTATTATCATAGAGATAGTGTGTATGGTTTTACGCCGCTTTTAGCAATATTCTGGCAATATCACGGCGGGGGACACCAGAAATGGGCTTCACACATTGTACCCATGTCGAGAATCGTACCCGGGTCTTCGGCGTGACGAGCGAACGCTTAACCACGAGGCTACCCGATCGCCCCTATTATCATCGATAGACATGGGGCATGTGCAGGTAGATATTACCATCAATGATCATATACTAATTTTTAGCTACTTGCTTAATATATATTCCGAATGTTACCAGCTGACGTTGTGACGTATGAATGTAGTTTCGAAACATAGTCTTTGTTACACACTCTTGATAACGCTGTACGAAAACGGAAGAGACGCCTTAGTACGTAACTTATGGTAAAACCTTTTCCTGTCTTCATTTCAGAAAACCGATGCGATCACAGAATTAAAATTTCAAACGAATCTATCGGGGAGATTACGTCTCCAGGATTTCCAACTGGGTACAAAGAGTAAGTGATTCAATACTATAGTTGATAGCAAAGTGGACAAATTGTGGTATTAGCTAAACCCTAAATGGGCCTCATCCGTAAAATGGGCCTCAGCCAAAGACAGGATAAGGGAGATAACTCCCACGAGCATCCAGCTAGCGGCAAGCACATTGCATCAGGCGCACTCGCCACACAAACCACTTCATAGGTAGCAAGCCTCATACATGGGATTCTGATTAGAGAACGTTTTTTTTTTCCAACCTGGGTCGCAAACCCCAAACCGGAATCGAGTACCCGAATTCAACTGTAAAGTGCCGCGCACTCGAAAATATGCAATTTAGGTCACAATACGTCAGAACACTGTATCGTTTCTCTTCCGTATATGCAAACACACGCTCTTTCGAAGTGAAAATGTGAGCTATCTCCCTTGGTCCATCAGAACAGCATACGCGTACCCGTGAGGGTCCTATATACTTTAGACCGTGAAGATCCGGGGAAGAATATGACTTTCGATTTTGTACAGGCAGCCGTCATATAGCTGGGATATTGCTGAATGCGACGTTAAACAACAAACCAACCAACCAACATGTATACTTTACGGGTGTGTTTGGACGTGGTGTGGGTGTGGCAGTGGAGATACAGTCTGGACTGCTGGTAATGTTTGTTTGTTTGTTTGTTGTTTAATGCCGCACTCAGCAATATTCCAGCTATATGGCGGCGGTCTGTAAATAATCGAGTCTGAACCAGACAATCCAGTGATTGACATCATGAGCATCGATCTACGCAGTTGAGATCGATGACATGCATCAACCAAGTCAGCGAGCCTGTCCACCCGATCCGTTTTTATTAGTCGCCTCTTACGACAAGCACAGTCGCCTTTTATGACACGCATGGGTTGCTGAAGACCAATTCTAACCCGGATGTGAATGTAATATGGTGGGATGGTCAAACTTGTAACGTTACACTGGCAATTTCAGCTATGGTAGTGGGGAGAATTGGGTTTATTTTGTATGCGTTTGACGATTTGGTTTGTTACAGATTATAGCTATTGATGATGATGCGGGAATGAGGTGGGTCGGTAATGGCGCAGTGGTTACATTTGGTGGGATGTGAGTGAGTGAGTGAGTTTGGTTTTACGCTGCTTTTAGCAATATTCCAGCAATATCACGGCGGGGGACACCAGAAATGGGCTTCATACACTGTACCCATGTGGGGAATCGAACCAGGGTTTTCGGCGTGACGAGCGAACGCTTTAACCACTAGGCTACCCGACCGCCCCCTGTGGGATGTGAGACTTGGGCAAAATTGTTGGCAAGACACACGACAGTAAGATGGGATCTTGTACACTGTCATATGTGACTACGCGATTTTGAACTATGTATGCATAATGGAATTTGTCAAAGGAATGGTGGACTGAATGTGATGTATTGGGGTGAGTGAGTGAGTGAGTATGGTTTTACGCCGCTTTTAGCAATATTCCAGCAATATCACAGCGGAGGACACCAAAAATGGGCTTCAAACATTGTACCCATGTCGGGAATCGAACCCGGATCTTCGGCGTGACGAGCGAACGCTTTAACCACTAGGTTACCCGACCGCCCCGATGATGTATTGGTTTAGAGGAAATGGGCCAGGCTGTATGTAGTATGTACAATCTATAACAACAGAAGAAGGGTTGAGTGAATTTGATGTGACTACAAGTACGCTCGTATATGCGTAACTTAGGCTTACAGCATGGAGGTGGATTGGATGGCATAAAGTGCCTGTTCCACGTATGTGATTATGGCGTGGTAACGATTCTGCAGAGGTAAACTCAATAGGGTCTATGTGACATATCTTAAACACACGATTTCCACATCAGTTTACAGGAATGCAAGTGGTTCATTTCATCAAAAGCTTTTGACAAGTTGTACATACAGCTCAAAGTGCTGGAGTCAGACTTAGACGACACCGAGGGATGTTCCAAAGACATTGTCCAGATGTATAACCGTACGTACATGTATCTAATATACACTTTATATTCTATGTCATATGTATGTGGGATTGAAAACAAATGTGGGTCTCCACCAGAATAATATGATTAAATTACATTTGAATGTATACTTATAATGTTCTTCTTCGTACAAGTGTTTCTTTTCTTGTTGGGGAAAAAGGAAAACTGGGATAATGGCTGTCATGGATCTCCTTAGTGTGCCTTTTTACAATTTTTGAAACAAGTTTGAGGAAGGTAGGGTGGTATGGTGGTCTCTTGACACCAAAGACCCGGGTTCGAAGTTCTTGTGTTCCTCTTCTCTGAGTGAGTGAGTTTGGCTTTATGCCGCTATTAGCAATAGTCTAGCAATATCACGGCGGGGGACACCAGAAATTGGTATCACACATTATACCCATATGGGGAATCGAACCCGGGTTTTCGGTGTGACTAGCAAACGCTTTAACCACTAGGCGACCCGTGCCCTTCCTCCTCTCTGACATTGAAAACCTCCACCCCAAGGAACAACCAGGCTTGAGTTCCTGCCGAAACAGATTCCATGCCTGGAACATTGCTAAAAGCTGTGTATATTCAGTCACTGAGTGATTGTTGCATGGAAGAGTATTGTAGTCAGAACAGTGAAACACCGGCGTATAAGTCGAAGGGACCTACAAAAACACTTATGTTATCAGAGTGTCGACACAAACAAAATGTAATACATCTACCGGTTGACATGAAGAATGGTTAAATTGAAAGGACGAGAAAATGAAATATATCATCAAGATTACCTTTTATTATTCATTATTATTAGCAATAATGGCGTCGTAATTGAATCAATATTAAACGTTAAATATTTAATTTGAAGCTGCTGATTCCAAACGACAAATAATTGGATCTTGGTGCGGGGGAGCCAAACCTACGTTCCAGTTCTTCCTCGCATCATTGACAGTAGTGTACAGGACAGGCACTGATCATTCCCGCAACCACACAGGATTCAAACTCAGATATGAAACCGTGGAAGGTTTGTTTGGACAAGTCTATAAAGTAAACGTCATCTAGTTGTAAATATAGTTTCGTAAATATTTGGATTATGAAAGGCTTAATAAGTTGATGTTTTACTTAAATATTCAATGCTTCGGTGAACAAAACTCTTGTAAGTATTGGTATATATCGAAACTTGTTTGAATGCCGAACCGTAAAGGCGTCTAACTCGAAATTATCTGAGAACTTCTGTGTGAATACTAACAATATCAACTGGGAATTTCAATGTTTACAATGTAATTGTATTCACATATATTTCAAACAAAAAGGTCAAAAGAAAACGGGAAAAGTGTCTGCTAAGTCACTAAGATATCAGGTGTTCGAGAAAGGGGTGCAGACATCGTATTATCAAATAATATGTATTAGTTATTGTGTTTGATGATGTACGTAAATGAGTATTTCATAGTAAAGCAGTTGTAACCAACAGATATTTGAGATCAATCCGAATGAAGGTTTGACTAAGATATGAAAAATGTAAAGGACAAGATACTGTATAAATCTGAAGAATACTCTTTTGACAGATGGCATGTGCAACCAACAGCTGAATGCCTCCAGTATACCACAGATCCTGAAATCTGATAATTACCCGAACCCGTTCCCAAGGTCGGTAGTATTCTTTGTGTTTTATACTTCAGTTCTTTTAATTACATTTTGCCAATGCAGGGCATGAGACACACAAACGAGAGGCTGATGGTGTGATCATGATTGTGAATATTGGTATGACATGGTGATTTATGTTATCCATGGTGATTTATAGTGCGTTAATGTTTTTCTATAGTGATTGATGGTGTGATTATGTTTCTCTATGGTGATTGATAGTGTGATAATGTGTCTCCATGGTGAGTGATGGTGTGATAATGATTTACCGTGGTGATTGATAGTGTGATAATGTTTCTCCATGGTGATTGAAAGTGTGATAATGTGTCTCCGTGGTTATTCATAGTGTAATAATGTTTCTCCATGGTGATTGATGGTGTGATAATGTGTCTCCATGATTATTCATAGTGTAATAATGTTTCTCCATGGTGATTGATGGTGTGATAATGTGTCTCCATGGTTATTCATAGTGTAATAATGTTTCTCCATGGTGATTGATGGTGTGATAAAGTGTCTCCTTGGTGATGGGTGATGTGATAATGTACCTGGTGACCCCCGTCGTGATAGTGCTGGAATATTGATAAAAAGCGGCGTAAAACCATACTGACTCACTCTCAGATCCTGACCACCTCGTTGTCCTTTTAGTCAACCGTTACGACAGGAAGGGAGTGCTGGGGGCCTATGTTTGTATCCCCCCATGGACAAGACGTTGTTGAGCACGATCCTTGTTGGTGCGAAGCTGCATGTACTTGGTGCATGTACATGGTGATAGAATGTTTTGGAATCCACATGATGATGGGGTGGGCCTCGGTCATTTAGAAAATGGATGGTTTGAATATGATCACCATAATGATGATTGATAGATCAACACAATGATCGATGCATCATGTACTTGAGTGACATGTGTAACTTCTGTTGGTAGCTATCGGAAGTGTAAATACGTCATCACAGCCTCCGCCGGAAACGCCATCTCCATTTTCGTGAACGCCAGCGACGTTGGCGGCAGCAACCATTGTATAGACAAAGTGGTCGCGGTTTATGATGGTAATATTTGATGATATAAAACTCTCTGTTCCATATTGCAAATTAAATTCATTTTGAATGGCATCATGAATCTACTTTTGCTAGAAAGTATACTAGACACCAGGTAAACTGAGTGTGTGAGTGAATCATGTATAAAGCCGCAGTCAGCGATTCGCAGCTATTTCATGGCACCTACAAAGTATTGAGTCCTGACCAGACAAGCCAGATATTAGCAAAGCCGTTGTTGAACGATGTCACGCAAACAACCAAGTCACCAAGCCTGGTCATCCAATCCAATTTAGGCGTCTCTGACGACAAGTACAGTTTACGGAGGGCCAATACTATCACGGACCAATAATATCCCCTGGTATTAGGATGAACATACAGTATACATGTGCATTGTATTTGGTAAATAATTTTAAATTAGCGATGTTATTTCACTTTTACAAAACCATGTAGGACAAAATTAAATGCAATTACGTTTCGTTTTAATATAATTTTAATATGATTTAATATAACCAATTGAATATGAATCTCCAGGAATAAAGTCAGCAACTCCACTTCAAGGGAGTTATCTCAGACACATGCATATTATATTATTTCCGTACTTGTCCTTTATATCCCTTGGTTAAACTGACATGTCGATAGTAATATAGTATTATACAGTAAACTACGGTTATAACGAACACGCTTATAACGAACTAACGGATATAACGAACTAACTTTTTAGTTCCGACTATATGCTGTAGTTATGCTGTAGCTATGCTGTAGTTATGCTGTATATATGCTTATAACGAATTACGGTTATAACGAACTAAAATTAGTAGTCCCTTTGAGTTCGTTATAACCGTAGTTTACTGCACAGTAATTTCGTCGACCATCCAACCATTAACAGATTTAACAGCTTACAATTAATCTGTCCACTCAGGCCAAGAGGAGAAGTCTCAAAATCGTATTGGAGGTTGGTGCAAGACTACGACACCATCATACCAAAGTCTATCACGCCAGATGCTGATTGTCTTTAAAGCCGACGACAGTGCTAACAAGACAGGTTTTCTTTTGCAGTACTGGGAAGGTAAATACTAGTTGCCGAGTGTGACGTGGCTTTACTGCATACATTTTATACAGGACAACAAACTAATCGGCAAGACATTGTATAGGACAACAACCTACTCGGCAGGACATTGTACAGGACAACAGCCTACTCGACAAGACATTGTACAAGACAACAGCCTACTCGTCATGACATTGTACATGGCAACGATCTACTCTGCATGACATTTTGCTGCACAACAACCTACTCCACAAGACATTGTACAGGACAACAACCTACTCGACGTGACATTGTACAGTACAACAACCTACTCGACATGACATTGTACAGGACAACAACCTACTTGACATGACATTGTACAGGACAACAACCTTCTAGACATGACATTGTACAGCACAACAACCTACTTGACATGACATTGTACAGGACAACAACCTATTTGACATGACATTGTACAGCACAACAACCTACTTGACATGACATTGTACAGGACAACAACCTACTTGACATGACATTGTACAGCACAACAACCTACTTGACATGACATTGTACAGGACAACAACCTACTTGACATGACATTGTACAGGACAACAACCTACTCGACATGACAATGTACAGCACAACAACCTACTTGACATGACATTGTACAGCACAACAACCTACTTGACAAGACATTGTACAGGACAGCGAACTACTCGACAAGACATTGTACAGCACAACAACCTACTCGACATGACATTGTGCTGCACAACAACCTACTCGACATGACATTGTGCTGCACAACGAACTACTCGACAAGACATTGTGCTGCACAACAACATACTCGACATGAACTACATGAACTACAAAGCTTTGTACAGGATAACAAACAGTACCCCACTTAACATTGTACATAACAACAAAGCTGTTGTGTAATGCTTGATATTCTTGTCAATTGTTTCTGTCAAAATCATCAACTTAATCAGAATTTGTGTAACGACACAATAGATTAAATACTGACATGACAGTGTTGTATTATTGTATTCTAGGCCAGGTTAACATGGCAATAGAGGCATACGGATATGAAAAATCTATCGTCTTTCCTCGCGAAGAAGGATATTACTTAAGGTAAGGTATTACTTCATCTCACTTGCCAATTTTACATTTCTTGTAGTTTGCCAATATAGTAAATGTGTGACAGTTGGATTTATAATGGCCTCAAAACAAATCTGCAACAACAATCAGCAGCTATTTAGTTTGTTCATCGATCCACGATTATAGGTTACAGGACACAGCAGATGGTGGATTTCCCAAACTCAAACATATAGGTGTGCGCGTTGTGTACCGCCACAGTCAGCACTAGTCCAGCTTTGTGACGACGGCATGGGAATAAGCGATTCTACACCCGTGTTTGATATCATGAGTAACGATCCGTGCCGCCGGGGTAAGATGACAGGCAGTCAACCAAATCAAAGAGCCTGACCCCAGCCGATCCATTAATTCAACTTTTGCCATAATCTGGGAACCAGTTCCAAACCTGGATTCCCACAGGGTCAGTTATCATACCTCCGTGTCAGAATGATGAGATCTGATTGGTTTTCACGTGATCGTGATAAAACCATTTGTATCCCTCCTTGGAGGGAAATACATTTCTCAGCGGGAGAATAAATCCCTTATACCCCGCCACGAACAAGACCGGCTAGACGTGGTATTCTTAGAGGGAGGGTAAATCCTTTATACCCCGCTTCGAAGTAAAAGCCGCATGCTTTTTCCGAGTAAATGAAAATCACGTGACAAAGCACAAGTTAACCTCTACTCAATCGAACAGCTGTTTTTTTTATGAATTTTGAATTTGTTTGAAATATTTTGCGGTGTCATATTAAATCATGTCGGTAGGATAAATTCATTGTTGCAGTATGGTTTCCGTACATGTGGTTTCATGCGTCCCTCGTTATGTTTTATACCACTCGCCACATCGTGATACTGCACCAACTTAAAATGTCTTAGTCACGGTGGTGGTTCGATCAATGACAAACTATTCTTCCTCTGATTCTTGCTGGCAGTCGGCGGAAATGTTCCTCAATGCATGGACAGTAAAACTAATATGATTAAGTGAGTGAGTGAGTGAGTGAGTATGGTTTTACGCCGCTTTTAGCAATATTCCAGCAATATCACGACGGGGGACACCAGAAATGGGCTTCACACATTGTACTTATGATTAAGTAAATGGTTATGTGCTACACCTTTCCTCCCTGTAAATTAGAAATGAGTCCAAGCTGCAGTATATTTTCAGTGGCTACGACACCTGGTGGAATATCACATCTTCTCGATCTGGACGCATGATCGTGTGGTTTACCGAGGTAGATGTCAAGTGCCCAGAGGATAGCATCACTTTACATGATGGTAAGAGCATTAACGATATATTGAAATACCATGACAAATGTTTCATTTCAGGATAATTATCCTAGATGTTTGTGCAAGTGTGTAAACATATATTGAACTGAAAAGTGTGTCTGAATCTTGAACCTGAATCTGCATACGCTCATGTATGATTGATTCACGGCTGATGATGTCTTTATGTTACAGGAGGGGTAGGTCAGGGATATCGTACTTGGAGCTTCTGTGGGAAGGATGATCGCTCATTTATGACCACCACCGAACAACTGTTCATCAATTTTCAAACACGAACAAACCTTGGAAAAGGTTTCAAATTGAGTTATCAGCGGTGGTTCTACAGAGGTAAGTATTCCCTGCCTGATGGTAATTTGGAATCATTCCTGGGTGTATTTAAGCGGTAAAATGTGAAAATGAAAATTGTTTCTTGTTCCGTGACAAATACATGTCCCGAATGAATGAATTATGAAAGTGGTTAGTCTGTGGCAAGTCCAGTGGCTTATCTTAAGGGAAAACAGTTTCATTTGGGACGAATGAAAAATAAATGAAATTGGCATTTAGCTAATTGAAACGAAGCAGATGTTCTAAATACTATCATGGATACTTGTGGCCCAGCCCCCTAAGACACCACAATTCGGCGTCCAGGGTAATTTACTAAAAATGAAACAACGCTTGTCAACAATGATGCTTGCTCGACTTTTCACGCCCTCTTACTCAATGATACTTGTTTTTAAAGTGTGTGAGTGGTGGATGCTACCAGTAGAGGAAGACATGCTTGATAATCCTTGATTAACCTTGCTTATTACCTGGTGTCATCATTTTTCAGTTATCCTTTCTTATGATTCCCAGCACTATTTTGCAATATACACCGAATGGAATCTGTTTCGGCAGTATTCGAGATTGTTTGGTTTTCAGATTTCAAAATGTTCTCAATTCTGAAGTGTCACATTAAATGGTCAGACTTCTTGGAGAATAAGTAAAATGCACTTATCAATGAGGATCTGCAGATTTATATATGCAATATAATAATATATATATGCAATTTGTCTCAGATTGTGGCGTCGGTGTGTCCCAGCTAACAGCCCATGATAGCACTGCTTCTATCTACTCGCCTGGCTATTCAAACCAGTACTATGAGTAAGTTTCTCTTTTGCCAATCAAAGTGTTCTCTTTATATGTTCCAATGTACATGAGGGGCATACCTGTCTCAGGATATATTTGCACTGTAATATTGTTCCTGTATATTTCTGGTTTTGACATTGTACCTAGAATGTTTCCGATCCATATTGCATTGAGTTAGTGAGTGAGTGAGTGAGTGAGGTTTTACGCCGCTTTAAGCAATATTCCAGCAATATCACGGCGGGGGACACCAGAAATGGGCTTCACACATTGTACCCATATCGGGAATCGAACCCGGGTCTTCGGCGTGACGAGCGAACGCTTTAACCACTAGGCTACCCGACCGCCCCCCATATAGCATTGAAACAATAACATATTGACACACAGACCTACATTTCGTTGGGGGGCAAAGTGAAAAGTCTTTATGAATTGAAACCAAATATCAAATTAATTTGGATAATATTTTCGCTGCAGAGAAAAACGTCCATCTATCATATACTGAACAAATAATGTTGGAGAACATGAATATTTTGAAGGATATTTTTGTAGTGAAGATTGAGCGGACAATTTTATAAAAACTATCCCCAAAATTTTCATGATCATTAACATTTTCGGTTCAGTATATGTTTGTTGTATTTTACGGTTGAAACATCAGTTCAGCGTGTAAACCGTTGCTTTGTGACATATGGAAAGAGAGACAAGTGTGAACAAAAGACTTCAGAAAAGCAATGTCGTCCTTCAGAGTGAGGTGACTGTATGTTGATACATACCTTAGTGATCCAAAATGGTTTCATTGTGGTGGTTTCTCAACCTAACAATGCAACTACAAATTGTGATGCTTATGCATTTAGTACTCACCAATTGAAAATCTAAATGTCACTCAGTGAGGTTATAAATCATAGACCCGTGAAGATCCGGGGTAGAATAGGTCTTCAGCAACCTATGCTTACCGTAAAAGGCGACTATGCTTATCATAAAAGGCGACTAACGGGTTGATGCATGTCATCGTATCCCAAATGCATGGATCGATGATCATGATGTCAATCACTGGATTTTCTGTTCCAGACTCGATTATTTTTTAGCTGGAATATTGTTGAGTGCGTCGTTAAACAAAAAAAAAACAAAAAAAAAACATAACTTATGGTTATCATTATCTGTTCTTCTAATTATAATTTAGTCATCTGAACTGCAAGTGGCTTCTCATTGGCCTGTCGCCCGAGCACCGTATCAAGCTGATCGTCAACGTTGTAAACATCAGCAAATCGGAGAACTGTGTTCAGGACTATCTGGCGGTGTACGACGGTGAGTCATGTGTGGGAATCAGTGAGTAGGTGAGAAAGTTTCGGTTTGATTTGGTTGATTTGTTGTTTAACGCCGCACTCAGCAATATTCCAGCTATATGACGGCCGTCTGTAAATAATCGAGTCTGGACCAGACAATCCAGTGATTAATATAATGAGCATCGATCCACGCATTTGGGATCGATGACATGCATCAACCAAGTCAGCGAGCCTGACCACCCGATCTCGTTAGTCGCCTTTTACGACAAGCATAGTCACCTTTTACGGCAAGCATGGGTTGCTGAAGACCTATATCTCTACCCGGAGGCTTCACGGGTCGTTTCGGTTTGATGCATCTTTGGACAATAGTTCATGTATATCACTGTGTCGGCTTAATTAAGGTGTAAAGACCAAAATGTTGAAGGCATTAGACGTTTACCGTTATGGGTATGGTGCTGACAGAACTAGGCACACGTTTTTTGACGTTTCTGACACAGGGACGCAATTCCACACACCAAAATTTGGTGCCCAAATACTGACTCGACCATAATGAAGCTGTTATATTGCTGTACACTACATAAAACCCTACAGTACACGCTTATTGTCGTTGCATTTAGAAGTTCTATACGCTGAGGGGGCACGGATGGCCCAGTCGTCTAAGGCGCCGCGATTCGCTGTGCAGAGTTACGTCCCTTGGGCACGCCAGAAACCTATGATTGTGGGGTTCGAATCCCGGTTCGCCCCGATTATGTTTCTAGGTTTGTCAGCACCATACCCGTGCTCGTGGGTTTCACTGAAGTGGTAAACGTCTTAGACCTGCATCACTTCGGGCTTTCCTCCCACATTAAGCTGACATGCCGCGATATAACTGGAATACTGTTAAAAGCGGCGTTAAATCGAACTCACTCACTCACTCTACACGCTGACTTAGAAATGTTGTGACTGTATTTGACTGAATGATTTGTTATGTTGGTACTGATCATATCTTACTTTCAGGGTCTTCTGCTAAATCTAATCAAGTATCAAATATGTGTGGGGCAAACATCAACCGAACAATCAGAAGCACGGGGAATAAGCTGTATATAGAGTTTGTCACTGATGATCGCTCATCAGGGTATGGCTTCAACTTGGTCTACTCGGCTGGTAAGTACAATGTAGACCTGAAGATGTTGTTGTAGTGGAGTCTACATAACTAAATTGTAGTTGGTTGGTTTGTTGTTAAACGCCGCACTCAGCAATATTCCAGCTATATGACGGCGGTCTGTAAATAATCGAGTCTGGACCAGACAATCCAGTGATTGATATCATGAGCATCGATCCACGCAATTGGGATCGATGACATGCAGCGAGCCTGACCACCCGATCCCGTTAGTCGCCTTTTACGACAAGCATAGTCGCCTTTTACGGCAAGCATGGGTTGCTGAAGACCTATTCTACCCCGGATATTCACGGGTCAACTAAATTGTAGTTATACAGTAAGTGCGGTTAAGGTAATTAGTTACACATGTATCGACAGGCACAAACATTAAAACCTAAATAATTCTACGTATATTCAACATAATAGAAAATTGTTTATATCAACAGATCGGCTAGGGTCAGTTTACAGTCCTGCACGTGTGATTCAGGGTCTTGAAATACAATTTGTTTAACCCAAGTTTTATTATGTATATCAGTCAAGTAATAACACTGATTACAATGTCTCAGTTTGGCACGATGCATCAATTACAACGTCAATCCATTGTCTGTAAAATGGGCCTGGGTTCTCTTGAACGATTGGGGACGTCTGAATATCATTCCTTTCGTCGCTTTCACTGATACATGTACGTGTGGAAGAATGCAATAAGGGAGATAACTCGTGCGTTCACAATTGCATAACCTCCATGCTTAAATATCGTCACTTTAAACTTCATCCGACACGGTGAAAGTTCAGATTACATTTTTTATATTGTTATAAGTAAAACTGAAATTTGTGTTATATGAAGAGCATCCCGAAATAGGACATTTTTCTGTGACCTATTGAGGATGTCGGGCCGTAAAATGGACACCCTTACAAAACTATGGGCTTAGCAAAATATTACTTAATCACCCAAAATACATGTACGGAAAAGTTTTGGAACGAACATTTTCTATTGAGTGTATTCAGCTGCTGCAACGAGATGTTTTTATGATTTCGTCTTCAGAAAAACACCAAGAAGAAGAGTCATCGCCAAATCCCGTCATCATCGGTGTTATCGTCCTTCTCATCATCCTCGCCATTGCCATCATCATCGGTTTATGTTACTGGATGAGGAAAAAAAGTCGCGACACCAACCTCCAAAGTCCAGCCGAAATGAACTCCTTGAGTGGTCCTCCATCTTATGATGCAGCATCTGATCCAAAGACTTTGTATGCAAATGATACAGCTCTAGATCTTCCATCCTAGACTGAGGCTACAGGTAATGGGCTGGACCAAACTGAGCACATGGCATCTGAGGTCGTGGCTAGTACTCAGGACGTAACAGGGCTATAACAGTGAATACGGTTACATACAAGTATGACGGAACATGAGATAACATCATCAGTTCATTTCCTGTAACATCGTACGGCTTGCCAAGTGTACTGCGGTACCACACACAAGGAATAACGTTCACCCAGAAATCCTGTAATATAGTATACAAGAATGGTAATTACATTTTAAAATTTATTTCGGCGTTTTCCTGTTCAATGTATATTATAGGTCGCTTGTCATCTTTCTACGCTGGCACGGATGGCATTGGACAACTTACCAACAGTTTCACTGTTTCTTTGCCTATAAGATGAGCCCTCCATGTGCCAATTGAGAATGGATTACTAGAACTAGGAGTCACAAACACATATTCTTGAAACATATTATATATTTTCGAATCAAATTAATAGTTAAGTTTTGAATGGTATTGTACACTCAGTTGTAGGTCACGTTTCTTAGTTGTTCATGTTTATATATGTTGAAGTTGTTCTTTTAACGTTAACGTTAATCGCTATATGGCTGAAATATTGCCGATGCGATGTAAAATTTAACTCACTCACTCACTCACTTTTAACGTTAAGAGGTGCTATGCAACGATGGTGTCAACTTGAATAAAGATCTGTTTGTTTCAATTATTTAGTTACTTACATAAATCACCCAATTCCACTTCAGTATCCATTGTGAAATTGTCACCAAGAGCTGTCGCCTTGATACGTATTTTTCGTACATAGTGCAGCAGCTGTTAATCACATCTCTGAGAGGGATCTTACGATTAACCCCATAGAGGAGAATGTCAGATGAATTACTAATTTCAAAGTCGAATCGATCACCAATCCACCAAATGCAGAACTACACACACAATTGAGTGAGTGAGTACGGTTTTACGCCGCTTTTAGCAATATTCCAGCAATATCACGGCGGGGGACACCAGAAATGGGCTTCACACATTGTACCCATGTCGGGATTCGAACCCGGGTCTTCGGCGTGACGAGCGAACGCTTTAACCACTAGGCTACCCGACCGCCCCCACACACACAATTGAAAGCTACATGCATGTATAATGTATGGAATACTGTAAGGGACATTCTCGCGATCTCGCATTCTCGCGATCTCGACCTTTGGAAACGAGGTAAATATGCCCAAAACACGAGAATGCGAGATCGCGAGAACGCGAGATTTGGCCAAAATCTCGCATTCTCGCGATCTCGCATTCTCGTGTTTTTGGTACATAGCACTTTTTGTCAAAAGTCGGCAACGCGAGAATGCGACATTTTGACATGATGCAAAATCTCGCAATCTCGCAATCTCGACTTGTCAAATTAGGCCACAAAATAACGAAATCGCGAGAACGCGAGAATGCGACATTTCATTTTCTCGCGATCTCGCGTTCTCGTGTTCTCGCGTTTTAGACGCTGTCCGTGCGCATGCGTAATATCATAAGGTCAAGCGCATGCGCACGTTAGTAGTCCTTTGGTCATGCTTCTTTCATGCTCTTCATTCTCCAAGTAGCATTTAGCAAACTTATGACTTGAGCTTGAAAATGCTATGTAATTTACATACACAAAGTCTGAGTCATCTCCCGTTGTTACAGTTTCCTATGTACTTTATAATAAAACCCTCAACATGCTCAATATAATTTAACAAAAGAAATTGTGTACATGAATGTCCAATGATAGTGAAAACATTAATGTGTCCGAAAGCTGGAAACAAAACTATCACCGTCAGTGAGTGAGTAATATTGCTTAAAGTCGCATCATCAGTACTACAGTTACAGAAATAATCACAGGCCAGTGAGGTTCTCCATGAGACAATTTTATACACGACTAGCATATTCATGAAAGGCAAAATTCTCATAGACCAATTTGAAATACAAAATTAATTATCATATTTTCATCCGCTCCAACCTGACTACAAAACATCCCTCTTTACATTATTTTATAGTTAAAATGGATAAAATTATCATTAAATCGCCCGCCTGTTATCATAAATGAGCGGGCCACTGTTAAAGAAATAAACGACGAGTGGGGGTACCATACAACACTGCAGGGAGAATAAACCATGAGGGGCGAGTTTTTTATTGTACAATAAACAACAACCACGGGTCGTTTAATGATTATATAACATATCAACATTATGTACAGCCTCTTTAAGGATGTTGATAAAATGTACGAGGTTTAAAAATATTTACCCCTATTTAAGGTGGGTATTTCCTGCATATGCTCACACAATCCTCAGGTCGATTACACGTACCTTTTCTCCCAAAACCGATTCTCATATTGTAACCGGGAATTGTGATGGAAATTACAATTTTAAACAGGCTACGGGTGTGAGTGTTTATTGCCAGAGTAGATAAGGACATCCTTTAATGTACAAAACAATAACATTATAAAAACAATAGTGCATAGGTTTCATACACATACATATTCACACCTTCATTCATTTCATATAAACATACGTCTATATTCTGTACATGAACATGAACTTAATAATCAATGATATACAAATTCATTATCTTAACCCTATAATAAACAAAAAATTCATCAAGGGCGATAACTCGATCCCGACATCACTCATAAGATACAATATAAACCTGGTCCATGTTGTAAAATACACTTAACATTATAAATACAATTACCACTTTCTTGAAACTGCTGTATTTATTCAGTAACTCACATATATTTGGCACGATACACTATTTACAATTCATATTTCGAGACACGACAAACATGTAAATTACCCGTACCATGTGGGTGACACTGGGATGTTTATCGTCTTCATGCAGCCGTCTGAACGAAGGAGATGTCTCACCATCTATGGAGAGCAACCTGACGGTCACTTCCCTCTCACAATTAATGTCGTCAAACTCACTGCGTTATAATGTTACAAGATCACATTCGAATAATCAGAAATGAGGTCATGATTAATCGTATAATACACCCCGCTTCGTTCTACAATGATCTTAGCGATTAAACGCGTAGTCATCTATAGAGTAAGTGAGAGAGTTGGGTTTAACACCGCTTTTAACAGTATTCCAGTTATATCACAGCTTGTCAGCTTAATATGAGAGGAAAGCCCGAAATGATGCATGTCTCAGACGTTTCCCTCTTCGATGAAGCCCACGAGAACGGGTATGGTGAAACAAGAAACATAATCAGGGCGAACCGGGATTCGAACCCACAATCATAGGTTTCGGGCGTGCCCAACTGACGCAACTCTGCAGAGAATCGCGGCGCCTTAGACGACTGGGCCACCCTAACGAGGGTTGATATATTTGATGTCAGACCGCCGTCATATAGCTGGAATATTGCTGAGTGCGGCGTTAACAACAAACAAACAAACAAACAAAATCTTTCTTAAAAGTACCATTAGGTATCCATGTTGGTTATTTGACTGTTAGTTGTCAGACAATATTTGTCAAATTCAGTCAGTTCACAGGCAAGAAACGGAGCGTGTTCTTGACTTTATTATGTTACCAGTCTACATATATATTACTGTATATTCAAAAGACTTGGAAAATTTGCATTCTGACATTGTCAAGAGTCACGTGATTTTGAGCAGCCATTTTGAAATAAACTGCATAAATTTGAAAAGCAGAAATTTCTATTAACGTTTTGGTTCATCTCGTCGTTTTGATTTCAAAAGACACGAGCGTGAGATTATATTCATCATCCAACATCATTCTTCAAACTTTTTCAGTTTGTAGACAGTAATAAGCAGTGTCTTAAAGATGTTTGATACAATGGTTCGTGCGCATCTCAGTTCACGCCGTTGCACGCGAGTTTACCGTGACGAATTACCTTACAAAATAGTTACATATAACTGTATAGGCAATTAGCACAAAAACACGAGAACGCGAGATTGCGACACTTAACCAATGTCGCAATCTCGCGTTCTCGCGATCTCGTGTTTTTGTGCTAATTGCCTATACAGTTATATGTAACTATTTTCAAAAACACGAGAACGCGAGAACGCGAGATCGCGACACTTGACCAATGTCGCAATCTCGCGATCTCGTGTTTTTGTGCTAATTGCCTATACAGTTACATGTAACTATTTTCAAAAACACGAGAACGCGAGAACGCGAGATCGCGACACTTGACCAATGTCGCAATCTCGCGTTCTCGTGTTTTTGTACTAATTGCCTATACAGTTATATTTAACTATTTTCAAAAACACGAGAACGCGAGAACGCGAGATCGCGACACTTGACCAATGTCGCAATCTCGCGTTCTCGCGATCTCGTGTTTTTGTGCTAATTGCCTATACAGTTATATGTAACTATTTTCAAAAACACGAGAACGCGAGAACGCGAGATCGCGACACTTGACCAATGTCGCAATCTCGCGTTCTCGCGATCTCGTGTTTTTGTGCTAATTGCCTATACAGTTACATGTAACTATTTTCAAAAACACGAGAACGCGAGAACGCGAGATTGCGACATTGGTCAAGTGTCGCGATATCGCGTTCTCGTGTTTTTGTGCTGATTGCCTATACAGTCATCTTGTGTCTCAGTCGTTTGAGTTGTCGCAATTCGTTGTGTAGAGTTGCGTCCCTTGGATGTGCTACAATGGTAGGTTTCCCCCCATTTTAAAGGGGCACTGATCTTCAGCAAGATCACTGGTCCGAGACTGGTTGTTGCCTTTGTTATTGTTTTCCCCCCGTAAGTATCCGGATGATATAGCAGATATCAAAACTAGTTCGCGACCTGTGCTGCGCCATTCGTAAGCGCATGTATCGCTTTTATTGATAGTATTTCAGTGTGGGTATATTGTTTAGCCAAAATGTATAAAGTTTCACGAAGGCAATTTTTGCAACGCCTAAATATTCAGTTATTTTACAAATTGACTGAAAATCGGTTATTGTTATTACGAATTCCAAACATTTTTATGTTTTAATTTTATCACCAAGTGACTGAAAATGAAAGGATTAAAAGAAAACGAAATTCAAAGTACGTTTCTATAGTTTTGGCTTCTAATACTAGCGGAGCGGTCGGGTAGCCTTGTGGTTATTGCTGGAATAGTGCTAAAAGCGGGGTAGAATCAAACACACTCACTCACTCTAATACTAGGATAAATAGTCTATTTTTAAGCCCTTTTGAACCTCTTAAAAATTGTTAGTCAATCTGGACTTGGATTCAGTCAATTTGTATATTACTGAAATATTTAGACATTTTATAAATTGCCTGAGTGAATCACATTTTACACATTGAGTGTAACATACATGTATACACGCCTACAGGTACAAGAGGAACAAAAATGATTCTATCCAATGCAACAGCAAATGAATGAAAACAAAATGCAAATATCATAATTACGACCCACCGAAGTTTTATGTATACATTTGGGCAGCTTCCTTGTTCTAGGAATGTATCCGTGAATATTCACATATAGGAACAATATCCCATACGTCTGCAACTGTACAAATAAACTTATTCAACGTCACATGGCTCCGTTACATTCAAATATTTTAAAATATATACATATAGCCTTTCTGGATATTATAACCCGTGTTCGTTTCTCAACTGATCACTAAGTTTGTTTTTGATGTTTCACAAAGGTGTCAAGTCTCATCGGTCAGCTAAGATAGCACGTGTGACAATTATGTTCATGATGTCCATGGTGCTTTAAAAATA